AAGTTGTCTGAATAATGGTTTCTATGTGGTAAAGCCACCGTAGTTGAGGAAGGATAGGTTGCAGATCAGTTGTGAGAGGTCAGCAAGGCATTTGGGAAAGAGAGATGCAAACAGGTACTGTGATCTAGATGTCATTTTCAGTACAATTATGTAGGAGGTATCCAGAATAGCAACTACACAGATTCTAAAGACTCTGTTCCAAAGGTTGTAATGTGAGGATGGGGCCATGCTGTTAGGCTACTGAAAGGTTCCATTGGACCAAAGCTCTTTAATACCTATTTCAAATTGTTGATGATCTGAATTCACCTTCTCTGTATTACCTTAACTGCACAGTAGAGGAGTTGAGCTATTGTCTTGGTAGGATACAGGAATGTTATGGTGTGGAGTCAGAAATAACTATTCAACAGGCCATGGTTGGAACAACATTTCCTGAAAGAGGAGACATATCTATCAATATAGACACTTTCGTGGTTTGGAACACCTTTGATCTGATCAAACTAAAGCCATTCCTGGACAGAGATAGCCTGATCATATTAATCTGTTACCCTGGTGTGGCCATATTGTATCATTCTGCAGGAATTAGAGAAAGGGACATCCTCATGTACTGTCAAGCCCACTTCAGGATGCGGATGCCTGGCTTTAAATCCCACAGCGTCCAAATATTTGGAGGAATATCTCTTCCTCTTGCTTTTTAAGGCCTTCAAAATACATCCTTGTTCCATTTAACTATGTTAAGTTTACATAAGATGTAAAGAGCTACAACTAGCATCCATTCAATGTTGTTTTTGATGCTGAGTTTAAAAAACCTTGTTGCCTCCCTGTTCAATAGCCATGCCTCTTAATTTATTGTATTGATTTTTTTTTTATGTGTATCTATACAATACATGTACATACACACACACACACACATACACGCATACCCATGAATTATTGGGTCATCCTTTTGGAGATTTTTCATTACTTAAACAGACAAACAGAATGACCACAGGCAGATTGCTATTATTTGAGTTTTAAAATTAAAATAGAAAATATCATTTTTCTAAAGAAAAAAGATGCACAGTGAGATATATAGATGCTTTTTGTTTAACAAAGGATGCTTTTGATGACATTTGTGGTTGATCTGCTATTCTTTTTACTACAATGCTGTACACTGCCATTGTTACCTCAGAACAATTCCTGCCAGCTTCTCCAGTAAGTTGTAGGAAGCTGTCAAAACAGATTAAAAATAGGATCGTGTGAGTTCCTGAGGTCTAGGGTGGGACTGATCTTCCATGATCTCTGGCAGCTGAAGAAAATGTCTGTCTAAGCTCAGTTGGAAGGAAGCAATTGAAAAATGAAACATTTGGGCAAGGACAAAACTATAGTAGTTAATGTATTTGACTGACTCCAGAGAGATTCAGTTTCTACTCCATCTGCAGTCTTAGCATCCCACTTGGTGACTTTCAGGCCAACTTACCTCATAGGGTTGTTGAGAAGAAATATAAGCAGATGGAGCACTATGTATGTGCCTTGATTTCCTGAACAAAGATGAGGTATAGATAGATGATAAGAGATACAAGAGAAGGGACACATAAAGCAATAAAAACATCCAGGCCTTTCTTCATATACCTTAAAATTGTTGGTTCTTTAAGAACCACATGATGAGTTAATTCTTTGCTGCTAGCTAGGGGAGGGAGGGAGGGATTACTAGACTGGCTGGGAAACTGTCACAGAACATTGAAAATGAAAATTACATTACCATAGCAGCAGCCCAGCAGTTACAACTTCTCCAAATTTTATAATCTCAGGAGTCATGGGTCCCAGATTTTGAACACATTCGGTAAGTTAACCCACTTGAGGTACCGTGGTTCAAAACTTGTTGTCCTATTTTACACTATTTTGCCCAGTTCTAGGTTATGACAATAACAGGATGAATGGGTGGATGGATGGATGGATGGATGATAGATAGATAGATAGATAGATAGATAGATAGATAGATAGATGGATAGGTACTGTAGATAGTTGATAAATAGAGGGTAAATAATTTGTATATTCCTCTGGGATTCTTGGAGGACCTGTGTATTCATTTCAATTAATTTTTATGTGCCATTCCTTCACAAATTATGATCCTGATAAATTATAAGTATGGCACTTACAAACAATAGTTTTTCTTTTCTTTAAACAACAGTTCACAAAATTATCTTTTTATGTGTTTCCTTAATGTTTGCTAGAAAGGAAGTTATTATCCAAACACACAGTCTACTGTATCCTGTTTGAGGACTTGGCGTTAATGTTTTAAAAACATTTTTAAAATCATAATGTTGGGTTAATGTTTTTTTTTAAAAAAACAACAAAATAATAAATAAATGTGTAATATTTAATATGTAAGAAGGTTTTGAGGGTTCCCCCCCCCTTCAATGTTATCCTTCATTGTGAACTACAAATCAAATACCCATTTTTGGCTGGGGGAAAAGTATCTTATTACATGAAGTAATAATATAATTTGTTCACATTTGATTAAATATGGAATTAGAAAAATAGTTTACATATAAAATAGTATTGGTTTGAGATCTTATTGAGCCTTACAAAGATCAAACAAGGATGCTTTAAAAAATGATTTGCTGCTTACAGTACAGTGCCTTACGTAATGAACTGTAATTTCCTTAATATGCTATTGTTTTGTTCAGATTGCAACTCTGAAAAATAGAAAATACAGTGCTACTAGAAAACACTAGTGAATAGATACTAATTCATCAAAGTTTCTGTTGTCTCTTAATCTGTACTATTTTTGCTTGTGATTCTATAAGGCACCAATCAATTTTTTAAATTCCATCTGCCAACTATCAGACAATTTATCACACCAGACCCTGCAATTTTTGCTTAGAGTTTTTTTCCCCCCAAAATAAGAATTTGTAATGAGAAGATTGTGCATTTTCTCAGAACTAAGCTACAATATTTTCTTCTTAAGAAAATGCAAATATGTTCCTAATTTGCACAGTTAGTTCATTAGAAGACAATGACCATATAATCTTTTGGCACAACTCCCAGTTGTCACAGCTAATTTGGCCAATGGTGAAGGATGCTTGTTATTCAGTAGCATCTGGAGAACCATAGGTTATCTACCCTGATTTAGCCCAGAGCCTCTTACTGCCTCTCTGACCCACCCATTACCACTTTGCAGCTGCATTGCACATCTGGTCTATTCAAGCCTCCGAATAAAATCCGGGGGTGACAGAATAGCCAGCATCATCTCATCGCTTCATCATACATTTTGATGTGTTAAAAACTTCCATTTTAGAAGAAAAAGAGGGGGAAAGGTTGTAGTCCATCCCTCTTCCTGTCAAGTTAGTTTCTATTTGCAGAAGGCTGGGTTCCTTTCTTTTCTTTCCAGATGGGAAGCATTTAAATATGACATTCCTCTGATCTGAAATGCATATCAAAACTGTGCCATCTTATTCCCATCTCATTCCCTTGTGTTACTGAGACTAACACGAGGCAGATTTTTTCACCAATAAGAGCACTGTTAATGAATGCTTAGATTTTATCTTCATTGTTTAGTTGAAATCTCAGCAGCTCAAGCAGTATATGTTTCAAGAGTCAGTCATGGAACTGTTTATATTTCCCAAGTCTGGATTTGCTTGATATTTATTCAACTGGTTGTGTCATTTAATGGTCTCTATATCTTCCCTCACAATTCTGATCCATAAACTCCAACACTTTTAATATCTGGCCAGTTAAATTACTTTATTTAAATGGCCTATGATGAAGTGGAACACTCAAAGCATTGAAATAATACAAGGTCTGGAAAATAGAAAGAAGAAGAAGAGGAGGAGGAGGGGTGGGAATATGAATCCTTCAAGGAGTAACACAAGGTGGGGGCAGTGGTGGGATTCAAATTTTTTTACTACTGGTTCTGTGGGCGTGGCTTGGTAGGCATGGCAGGGGAAGGATACTGTAAAATCTCCATTCTCTCCCCACTGCAGGGGAAGGTTACTGCAAAATCCCCATTTCCTCCCAATCAGCTGGGACTCAGGAGGCAGAGAATAGATGGGGGCGGGGCCATTCAGAGGTGGTATTTACCGGTTCTCCAAACTACTCAAAATTTCTGCTACCGGTTTTCCAGAACTGGTCAGAAACTGCTGAATACCACCTCTGGGGGTGGAGTGGAGATGAAATAAAATGTCTGATACAGAATTTGTACCAAGGGTGAGTTCTACTTACCTTTACTACTGGTTTGCATCATGCCCCTGCAGATGCATAGCTTCTGCGCATGCGCAGATCACCTATGATGACGTCTGGGTCAGTGGGTGGAGCCTCCCACCGGTTTTACTACCGGTTCTTGTGAACGGGTCTAAACCGGGAGCAACCCACCACTGATTTGTACACTAAAGATAAAGTCAGAGATACAGTAGCAGCTTCTATAGAATCTTCTGTGGAGAATCCCCATTTTATTAAATAATATCCCATAAAAGTTAATTAGCTGTGTACCATGGAATAAAATTTAGAAAGTGATAGATGACGGGTAATTCTGAAGGAAGAATAATGTGTTTTGTGCCAGAGATTTTAACATGACATTTTCCTAGAAGTTGGCACAGAGCTGAATCCAGCTATCACTGAAGTCTCCTAAATTGTACTGGTTTTAATTTTCCCACAATTCAAATAAATGGGACTTTTTAATTCTATCTGGTTTATTTATTTATTGCCTATGGAGCCATGAAAACACTTGACTCAAAATAGGTAACACACAAAGAATCAGATGTTGAAGAAGAAAGTCATCACATGGTAATAAGTTAGCCTTTCATTTTTTTAATGATATAATCCAATTAGAGAAAATTTTAAAAATTCAAGAACTAGAGTTTATTATCTATTTTTTGAAAGATCTATCAGTGAATTTTAATTAAATAGGAGTCCTAGTTCTGATCCTATGTATGTATCTTTAGAGTATGCCCCAGTTAGTAAACCGAACTAACTTTTGAATCAATGTACCCAGCAATAGACATTTCCAATGCACTCAAACTTACTTGAATCTGTTAAAAGAACATGGAGAAGATCAGCCAGCATCAATTACAAAGCCAACTGGATCAGCAAAATCAATGTCTTGATACATATTCCTTCGATGACATCTGGAGAAAATACATTCGAGTTTATTGCATGCTTATAAAATTCTGTTATCTATCATTGTCCAGCCAATTTTCTAGTAATTCCCATGGCGTAAAAATATTTCATTTATAGCAATCCTTCAACAATAAATTGAGATTCTTGCAGATTGGGAAAAAAACAAAGCAAAGACTCCAGTAAATCAAAATTAATTATTAATTTGTCTTCATAGTGGGACAATGATGTCCTTTTTCAGCAGCATTCCTCAACATGTTGCCCTATAAATATCTTAAACTTCAACATACTCTCCAACCAGCATGGAAGGACAGGACAGCTCCTTTGCCCTAGTCTTTGTCTATTCTTGCAGCGCTGTATTTCACCTGACAATGTTAATGTTTTGGTTGAATAGTATACTGTATATGCAATAAATGCAGTATAAAGTTAGTTTCTTCTTTGGTTCCATTTTTAGATAAAAGTCTTTGTAAAAACAGAATGTGTACTGTACATAATTTTCTTGGCCTTCTGGTCAACAGCTTTTGAATAATATTTGGCTTTCATTAAACTATATATTTTATTTTTAATTAAAAAGGATAAAAGGGAATTCTGAACACCCTAAAAGAACTTTGTAACAGATACATGAGCAAAATACAAGGGAAAAAAATCTAAAAAATGAGTAGGAGGAGTTGGAGAAATCTGAGAAGCTCCAGGAAAATAAGAGAGGAGTGGGCTGAAGTCCCCAAATAATTGTCAGAAAACTTAATATATTAAACTATTTCAGGTTAAGTAGTATAACTAGTCCTTCTTAGCAATAGTTGGATTGGGGAAAGTCTATTTCATTAGATCTTCCTAGCTTCCATTTGAAGGAAAAGAATTATATTAACTCACTAACTTTTCATGGGTATATCTCGACAAACAATAACTTAACATTTTAGGTGGAAATACAAGGAAACTTTTATTCAGATGGAAGCATCCAAATTATTTGATCCTGCTTCTAGCCTTTTTTGGTTGGTAGGTTGACCTGGCCTGGCTTTGTCACTCTTCTTGGTGCATTGAAAAGAAAGTCAAGAAATGAAAGCCCCTGTTTCAGACACCAAGAAAACTGAGAAAGTAAGAAAAGTTGAAGTTCTAAAAAGACCCTTTTTCACCGAGCTTGCTAATAAAGACGAGCCATCTCTTCATTACCATGCTACACATCCACCTCAGTTAGACTTCACAAAAGGGGGAAAAAAGCGGTCTTTATAGTTGTACATGATTATATTTTCCCTTTGTGTTGAGTTCAAAGTCTTTTTTTTTTTTAAAGCATGGGTATATTGCTCACAATGTAATGGGCCATTCCCAGGAAATGAGGGGGAAATGGCCTTTGCGGTTTTATATGAATACAATAGGTTATGTATAAAAACAGCTTTTTTAAAAAAATTAATGCATATTAGCTTCGAACAGCCATATTCTAACACCGTGTGGCTCTTCCAGTAGAGCAGATGAATGGAGGTATAGAAGAAGAAACCTTCAATGACAAAGAGATAAAGGCTTAGCTAAAAGGACCTGGATCTGTGTTTCAGGTAGCTCTATATGTTCCATCAGGAAATGAGTTATTAGGAGTAATGAAATCAGAGATCGACAATACAAAAACTTTTCAGATCCTTCAGAACAAGGCAACGACACTGGCCTTTTACTTCTCCACTTTGTAATGATTTCCTTTGAATGGCGGTTCTGAAAAAGCTGCGAGACGTCTTCCTGTTAGTGCTTTTTCATCTGTTCCAAACATTGGCCAAATAATAACCCCAAACCTATTCTTCCCTTTCTTTTTTTTTAAACATATATTGACTATAATGACTATCAATTATCTAGTCAATGCATCCGATCTGAGAAAGAGTTAGAGCTCCTCTGTGCTGCCGCCAGATGCCAACATAGAAGTTTGATAAGATAGAGCAGGAATGTAGAGTTTTACACAGTTATTCCTTTCTCAACTGTATCCTCCATTGTGGAAAGAAAAACATGTGAACACTGTGACATGTTGGCAAAAATGTGGTCAATTGTTCCTAGCAGCTTTTAGAAACAACTCTTCTGTTGAAAGAAGTCTTTCCTTGTTAGGCGGACATTTGCAAGAAAGCAGGAAAACATGCTAAATGGCTTTCAAAAGAACTCTTCTTTAATGTCCTCACCAGCTAAGCTTAAAGTTAAGAGGAGGAGTTAATAACTCATTTATTTTATTAATTTTTTATGGCATTCATCTTCTCTGTAGGGTGACTCTTAGTCAAGAATCCCCTACAAAGAGTTGGGGTTTTGGCTACCTTTATCTATTGGCTTATTGCAGTTAAGGCTATCTAATAATGAAAGAACTCTAGAATACGTAAGGAATAAATTAAACTTAACATTCAAAATAATTAATAAATAGGGAATCTTTCTCAATATGATGACCAGTGGTGGGTTGCCCCAGGTTCAGACTGGTTCTATAGAACTGGTAGTAAAACCAGTGGGAGGCTCCACCCACCAACCCTGACATCATCAGGAAGCTTCTGCACATGCAGCTCCATTGCGAACCGGTAGTAAAGGTAAGTAGAACCCACCCCGATGATGACCTATCGGAAAGATATTATAAGCGTTGGTCCAACATATCTGATGGCATCAAATTGATGTAGAATGTGTTATACAATCTTATTATATTGATATTTTGGGACTCCCCTCCCCCATAATCCAAATTCACAGTTTTTCCTATTTTTCTCATATTTTGCCCTGCAAAACCAGCAAGCTGTTTAAGAATGGATCTTTAAAAACTTTTTAGTTCCTTGCTTCTATCTATCCCTTCTATTGGTTTGCTAAGGTCTCACAGGGTTGACACTAACTAAATTCGAGGGATGTTTTGAAATTTTGAGCCTCAATGTATCAGTACAGCTGTGTACCCAGTTGAAATTGCTGCCTACAATTACACTGAATAAAATGGAAAGCTCAGTGAAATAAGTTTTTTCATCAAAACTCTGCCTTTATGGAAACTTGGCAGATGTGGACATTTTAAATTAGAAGTTTGTTGGAAGGATGTTGTATTTTTTTTAAATTTATTTTATTTTTGGAGAACTGCACATGATCATATTTATATAGCAGATACAATTTGTGTCATAGAAAATAAGATGGTCATGGTTGCAATAGCCCTTGTCAAACCCACTTGGCAGGATTTGCATGTAATTAAGACGAAACAATCATTATCTTGTGAAACTAATATAATGTTATTATCTGTGCTTACAAACGCACAATTTAAATGCACAGTTTGACCCACAAAGACCTAGGAAGCAGGAAAAATTGGCTGGGGGAAATCAAAATATAATTTAAAAGTTCAAAATTAGTATTTTCCACTATTAGTTTCCAGTGGGATGGCATATTTTAAGAATGTAGAGTTAGAGTTCCTTCAAGCATGTAAGCAATTGCCTTTTTCCAAGTCAGCACTGATCAATTAAAAAAAGATGATCACTGAACTGGAAGAAATTTTAAAGGTTGTTTAGCCCAAAATCCTACTCTGTGCTGGATCCATTATAGCATCTCTGAAAGATGAGCAGCATCTGCTTAAAGACCCTCAAAATAAGAGAAATTACCATTTCAGTTGATAGGCTTAACACTCATACTGTCAGAAAGAAAATATAGTTTTTTTAAAAAAAAACTGTTTGCCTTACAACATTGCTATAAAATTAATTAGTTATATCATTACATTGTAAGAAATGGCTAAAATATAGAAGCATATATCAACTGGTGTCTTTATCCTAGCTACATTAATGTGCATTCCTCCAGTCTCTGGGTTTGCAGAAGAGTTAGCCAGCATGGTAGATAGATGCAAGATTCACTGTTTTCATCAAATGCCTTCTTTTCATATGTGCATGCGATGTCCTAACATGAGTACAAAGGATGGAACTTGCATTGCGTTGATATGTGACTGTTCTCATCATTCCTCTTGCCCTTTGGTGGCACCAAATTAATGGCTCTTTCTCTCTCCTGCCTAGGTCCATTCTATCTTAGTAATGAGGGTAGCAATGGATGCAATTTTTGCAACTGGATGAGAGAAAAGTAAAAGAAAATTGTTACTGAACTCCCCTGGCTTCATTTGCCTTACCACCAAGTGTCACCTGCCAACAGGGGGAGGGGGGGAATCCATCAATAATTTTCCTTAGCATAGAATTGGTTGAGGGGGAGACAAATCTTTAGTGTAGATGCATTCAAAAGAAGCTGGTTTATCAGCTAAAACTTGGATATAATTTTAGTCATATCCCAAACAGTGGTACAGTATTGCTATTTTGAAACTATGCTAAGCATATTTAAAAAAAAAAAAAAAAAAACCCTCACTCATAAGTAACTTCTGCTGCAGAATAAAGTACCTGCATGGTAAAATGGGGATGAGCTCTCCTGCTGCATCCAACAGGATGTTATTTGGCTGTCTTTCCTTACAAGTTAGACTTCAGGATTAATTTGGTAGTGAGGAGAATGCAGAGAAAACATGAAGAAAAAAATAAATAAAAAAGAGAGACTGCCATAAAATTAACCTCCTGAACATCATTGTTTCATTTCTCTGCTTTCCCACCCTCTAATACCGTACAAAAAGTCTGGTGTAATTTAATAAAAATTAAAAGACCTGATCAATTTCTATTAAATTGATCTTCACCAGATATCAGGCATGCCTTAGGCACAGAGTTCTTTTGAGATGGCAGGTTTTATGTTTTCATTTGAAACAGAGCTAGCATTTTGATTCTTTGCCAAATTCACATTCTTTTTTTGCCAGGGTTTTGATCTGTACTTCTATTTCTCTGTTTTATGGCTTTCTTCAAACTGGGCATATGCTACCCTGAAATCCCAAACCTCTGGATACCTAAATTGGAATTACATATGAATAATTATTTCCTCAAAATGCTATTGTTATTATTAAAATGTAACGGTAAAGGTTCCCCTCGCACATATGTGCTAGTCATTCCCGACTCTAGGGGGCGGTGCTCATCTCCGTTTCAAAGCCGAAGAGCCAGCACTGTCCGAAGACGTCTCCATGGTCA